GGTGCTTATATTTTGGCGGCGGTGGTGACTTGTGGTGGCGGTGATATTTTGGCGGCGGTGGTGGCATATGATGCTTATACTTGGGCGGAAAATCTTTGTGATGCTGATGCTTTGGTAGATCACCACCAAGTTCAGGCTTTTCGAAAGGTAACAGACCATCATCGACCTGATCAGCAGCAACAATGGTGGCGGCAATGAGGCACATCACCACCGCAGAGAGCAGCTGAGGCCAATGCCTCAAGAGTTTCGTAGTCCCCATCTTCCGGCAATGCTAATTCAAACAGATTATGGATGTGAGTTGCATTATATGGTATGGTCTGAACCCTTTATATACTACTACTCATCAATGCTTTCTTGGTTGACATAGATTACCATTGTTTATTCCACGTAGAGAAGAGTAGCACATCTTAATATCTTCTTATTTTTAATTCTTAAAATTATCTTCACAGCTATTGATTTAATATAAATTAAGTGTGCAACTTACTTAGCTTATTAGACTATATACAATGTTATTCTCTCTATACTTTGAAGATTTCATGCTCTGAAAGCAACATTTTGATGAGATTGAGATCCAGAATTGTAAATAGAATTGATAAATATGTCTGGATTTCAAATGTGAAAACTTTGAGAGACCAAAATTATTAGATGTGCATTGATCTAGCACAACCCATTATCAATTAACAGTTTTTAATTCAATCTGGCTTGATTGGAGATCTGACTTTCTGCAAATTTAATTGAATATTGAGTTTGAAAGTTCATGGTTAACGACTACTAAGCTGGTGGAGAAATGCATTTTGTGTCTTAATTTAAAAGAAGTAATGCACGTTCGAAGCATGTATTTGTTCATCAACAGAATGAGGGCTATGAAAGAGACAAAGCATCTTCTGTGCACACAACAAAAGAATAACAAAAAACAAAAAAAATCTGCTCCAGTTTTGCCATGTCGGTGATATAAATTATATTTCCAAATTAAAATGGTTTCTCTTGACTTTAGGTTTATGTTTTTCTTATTTTAGATTGTATTTGTTGCAAATATTTCTTTAATTGTTGACTTGATGCGGTTTATTACTTTTTTGTCTTGTAACAACCTAGTCCTTAACTTTCTGTGGTTCATTTACTTTTCCATATTTCATGTATTTATGGTCTTCCAATCAAAATATTAGTCGAGGCTTAATTATTATTATGATCACTTATCTTATTTAGCTAATGTAGGATTCTGATCTCATTTCCAACGGGAATTACATGTATGTCTTTATCTCTTAATATTGTTTCTATAATAATTCATTTGGATGAACTAACGTGATGAAAATGCTAAGAGATTACATATAGGTGCATCTATTGATTCTTTGATTAAAAGATAGAAGAGTGTTTACGTATAGAAATACGAATGAGAAGTTTGATATGCAAATTATTTAGTATGTGAAAATAATTTTCTCAAAATGAGATTTATAAGTTTATTTATTTTTCATTTGAAATTCAATTATACTTTATCGTTCAAATCTTTACCACATATTGTTGTACTAAAAAAATCAAATTATATTTTTCATAAGTTGATTAATTATATAAAACTAAATTAAATTATATTGATAGTATTTTATTAAATAGCTTAAGTCATGTTTAATTTAAACTATACGTTAATTTTTATGTTGGTCTTTTAAAATGAATTTGAGACGTTGATGCTCAGTAGTAACATGGGTTTTTCATATCGTGTACATCTATAGTTGACCCAGAAATTAGGAAATTGAACTATCTTGCTGGTTATTGGGCTTCCTTCACGTTGAATTTAAAATTAATTATTTAAATTAAGTAATTAATTTTTATGCTTTTTTTTCTCTTTTTCTTTTTTGGAATTTAAATTGTTGATGCTGAATAGTAACGTGGGATTTCTATTGCATCTGGAAAAAATAGTTGACCTAGAAAATAAATTAGGAAATGAATTGTCTTGATGAGTTACTCTTTTTTTTTTCTTTCAATAATTGCACATTATAGGATGAAATTGAACCATCGATTTTTGGATGATAATAAATTATTCTCTTATTTTGAATTATTTTCTCAATTATATAAAACAGAAAAAAAGTAGTCGAAGAATATTTTTTTTATTTTTTATTTTATTTCAGCTAATGCATCTTTCTAAAGTTTGAATTTCCAACCATGTATCGTTGTATTTGAAAAAAATAAAGAAAAGAAAACAGAGCAAAATGGGAGTCAAACCATTAAAATATATCCCATTTATTAGCAATTATTATTAAGAAACAATATATAAAATTACAAAATCTCCCACTTACTACAGTAATAATGACATATAAAAAATTAATTTATAATTAGCAAATAAAAACATAAAAACAGAAAATTAACGGTGAAAATTTCCCTTCAGCTAATAAAGAGATTCGATCCATATCAATTCATTTATTGATAACTTTTTTTGTTCTCTCTTTCATTTCTAAGGTGAATCTTCTTTTTTGTTTCGATGCAAACATATGTAAGGGAGAGAATTTAAATGTCAAACCTTTTAGTCGAAAATATATATTTTAAATAGTTGTGCTATGTTCAGACATTGTCTTACATTCTGTACTTACAATATCATTGATTCAAATAAAATTGAATAAAAGAAAATCCGGTAAATTATGAAGTCATCTATGTCAATATGTCAATAAATTTAGAGGTGTTCTTCTTCTTCTTTTTTTCCTTCTTTTTGGTTAAATTTTCCTTTTCTTTTTGGTTAAAAAAGCTGAGATTATTTTTTCTTGTGTACAAGTGAGGTGAGGGTTCAAAACACGCAACTTTTAAATCAAAGATATATGTTTAACTAATTGAGTCAGGTTTAT